AAAAAAAAAATTTTTTCCCATTCTCAAAAACCCGGTGGTCCAATCGAAAAATCTTTCGATTCCTTCACGTATCCAACTCACGTATGTTTATCCGCATTCGTCAGCTCGGATCAACCTGATCTATAGATCCCTAACTGATCCAGTGATCGTCGTTGAAAGCGGATCGATTCTTGAATTACTTGGCACGATGCTGCGGCCTGCACCTGACCGCGTACTATTCCGATAATGGACTCGTGCACTTTCCGGCTTAACCTTTGACCCAGCCAACTATTCCCACTAATGGATCACGTAACGGCGGAATAAGTGCGAACGAAACGTAATAGCGTACGCTTTACATGTGGTATAATACGTCAGACTATATGTATGCACGTACTGTGTCTCTGGATCCGGGTAGACTAGATTGCTATTGGTTGCCAAATATTGGTCAATCAAAGTGATTGGATGACAGCTGTCAAAATTTTGACAGGTTAGATAGGCATTTGTGTATATCAACACTTTGGACAATCGTACGAGGTGGAATGTGGGATGTGAGTACACAGCTTCCGTATTGAAGATCTTCGTACAGTAGAAAAGGGAACCAAAACAGAGAGGAGGATAGAGAAGAAGGGATACACGTATGATATTTTTCTTCCTATGGTGTTTTATGGCAAGGACTATACATTTCTATGGGCAACCATGGACACGGATTCGGGAATGACTATTACCCGAGGATAACCGATGGAGACTAAGACTATTCCTACATGTTCGGAGTCACGGTACCTCGAATGGGAGGTCCTGCGGATTCTGTAATCGGCAGATTAATGTCTGGACCGAAATCCCAAACGAATTACTCTTATACGGTTGGGGATCTTGAAATGAAATCTCGCTTAGAGATCTTCGATCTTTTCGTTTTTGTAAAAAAGTATACATTTTCGAGATTTGGCTTTTGATTAATTACATTTATCAGCAATTACACACACATGCTTCTAACGTATGGTAACATATGAAGAATTTACGACAGACGTATATTACACGTAGATGCAAAAATTTCTATAAAGAAAGTTATTAACGATAATCATACAATATGAATGTATGTTTGTATTCATGAAAATTTTTTTAACAACAAAAATTCTACAGCTTTTAGTCAGTCATTGGTAAATAATGGGACTCACTGTTCAAAACTTACCCAAGTAGCTACGGTCAGTTGTCCATAACGTTAGGAGGAATAATACCAGTTTCCTTTAGTGGGCCCATCGAATTTTTCCCAGGGCCCCCTAAGGACGGTCCCTGCCCCCCTCTCTCTCTCTCTCTCTCTCTCTCAAGCCCCCTATATGCTTATATTTCGCTTTACGGACGGATTTGTTTGTATAATGGATGCAAAGGTCGTCCGGCGCGAAGGGTCAACTGAGAAGAACCAAGTTTCAGCAATGCCGATATACCGAGGCTGATGGTTTACGGTGACCAAATTTCCCGTCCGGTTTTGGAAAAGGGCCGTTGTATACGTAACGATTAAAAACCGGGAGAGCTACCGGTGTCATCAATCAAAATATTTTTGGTTTTTCCATTGGTGGGACCTACACTCCTTCCTATCCCATCTATTCGCTGTCTATCGTTATACGTGTATATGTATATGGTTGGATACAGGTAGAAAAAAGTTCATTTTATGTTTGTTACCGTAATCTCTTAAACAAGGTTATTTATCGCCGATCCTAATGGCACGCAACTAGGTACAGTATACTCATCACGATTTAATTATACGTCACGTCCGGTAACGTTCACGAAAATCGAGAAGGCAGATTTGTAGCTGATATAATTGCTAGCTTGTCAAACAGGTAGCCTGCACTTTGTTCAAACCCAATAACGAAAAATTTTCTCATGGATATTTTGTCTACGGTTTTTTTTTTTTTTGGAATCAAATTTTGGGCCGTTCGGAACGATAAAATAATTTGTTGGCGAAGAAAAAAATTTGTTATTCTTTTTCTTATGTTAGACTCGATACTCGTTGACTACGAGGATTTCGCTGAATATCTCAATGCAACGTTGTGTATCGGATCTTCATTGGCGTTAATCGTGCTGATTGTCGGCGATCACTTTATTACATGGACGGATTGATTTTAATGTGAAGCGATATCAAATAATTATGAATTATCGTCAAATTTTGGTTCGTTCGGAACGATAAAATAATTTGTTAGCGAAGAAAAAATTTACAAATTTTTTTTTATGCCAGTCTCGATACTCGCTGACTACGAGGATTTCGCTGAAAATCTCAATGCAACGTTGTGCATCGGATCTTCATTGGCGTTAATCGTGCTGATTGTCGGCGATCACTTTATTACGTGGACGGATTGATTTTAATGTCAAGCGATGTCAAATGATTGTGAATTATCGTCAATTTGTCAAGCGGGCTTCGTGATGCGACTGATTAGGGGGTGGCCCAGATTATCGATAAATATATAACGTTCTGGTTACTTCTGTCGTGAGTCACGTTAATAAAAGAAAAAAGAAATATTGTGATGGAGGATAAAAAATTTTGAAATATTAATGGGGTGAAAGATAAAAATTTTCAAAAATTAAAAAAATTCTTTTTCACGTAACCGATCGTATGCATAGCGATCTAACCTCGTTGAGGTTATCTCATCATTGTCAATGATAATGATACCTGCTATAAAAAATGACGTCGGACGATTTTCAAAGAAGGCCTTGAAACAATTAAAAAAAAATTGAATTGACAAGTGAACGCAGTGTCACCTTCGATATCAGGAAACAGCCGCGTTCCAGGCAATTAAAATTACCATGATTACAAATTCTATCGCGAGTAACCATATTATTATAAAAACTGACACATACGTCTGCATATGCACAGCTGATAAGTGGTTCAGCCTAATCGCGATAGTACCATAATTAGAGCGACTTTGCTTGATTGTCAATGTATCGAGACTCATAAAGTCATCAGTCGAAGGATAATAATTAAAAAAAAAAATGAACAAGAATCGATATAATTAAATGTTATAATCACAATAATATCAGATAAATAAATATAAAATTCAATTATTTTTATTACAACTTCGGCTGGATTCTATTGATTAATAATAATATATTATTGCACTACTGAGACACTCTAATTTCGGTTTCTTTTCAGTTCAGTAATTCACTGTACTATTCCCATATACGATTACGTGCGAATCACATATGATATATGCTTTTTATTTCTAGAAAGGTATATGAGTTTTTCATTCGAGTATGACGTTTCTCCTAGCGATACAGCAACATAATAGATATAGGCAGGTAGCAGCCAGACATAAGATATCTATAAGACTAAAGAACGTTCCGCCTGGCAACAAAGTAACGTTTGGAATTACCAGTCTTTTATTATGATATTCGCAGCGATAATAATAATAAATCTCGTTAGCGGCACGCAGAGTACATCAAGCCATAGGGATATCTACCCTTCGTATCAGACCGGGATGATTTTCTTTTTTCGGTACAAAAAAAAAGTAGAAATAAAAAAGTTTATTTCCCTGCATTATGAGAAATTCGAAATTACGAGGGCGATGAATTTGGAGTAGAAACATTTTTTGCCGGCCTCGTTCTGCATATGAAATTTCGCGCGTATGCTGTTTAAAGCAAATTTCACATTTTGTCACTGTACAGTGGTACCACTGAAAAATAAAGAAACTAAGTACCAGTCGTAAAAGAAACCTAGTCGGCTATCAACCTACACCAATTATTATTGGCTGTCAGAGACGGCGGCTTTTTTCTTTACTGTTTTCGGCAATTGTTTCTTTTTCTCTCTCCTCTTTCTTTCCTTCTGCGGCACTTCGACTCGCCCGAGAACGTAACATTAATCAAGACCCGCAGGAGCACTAAATCACTCGCGAGATATAAATTACCGCGCCAATCTGGTATCAATAAGGCGTAATTCGGGATAATAGGGCGTGTAAGGAGAGAAAGAGAAAGAGCCAGAAGAAGAAAAAGGAATCTGGAAACAGTATCTAATATAGGGAGAGAAACAGGGGAATCCCCGGTATGGGATATAACTCCTGATTTCGAGGGTGCTGTAGATTTCGATTAACCCACCACTCCGTCCTTTCCTACATTCATCAGTCCATCCACCCCCAAGTCCATCCTTATGCCTATCCATTCGTAGGTCCAAATATACCTCCTTAAGTTGGTACCCCTGTCTGTCCGTCTCTCCGTTGATCAGGACCAGCAACATTTTTCTTCGTTACCCATCCGCCGCGTCCACGAAGGTTTCGACCCTCATTATGCTCGAATAAATAATTTAGCCCTAACCGCATTTATCAAAGTCCACGATCAGACCAGCTCTTCGATCTTTTCGCTCAGTAAAAAAAAAATTTCAAATTTGGAAAAAATTTTGGTAAACTTTTTTTTTCAAAACGCTTCGTAATTTTCGATCTGAAGGTTTTGTAGTGGAGAAATTTATAACGGGATTCTTACGAACCATACAGGGGATGAAGGGTAGTAAGACTATGTTACTTTCATTGCTTTTTTTCACACGTGCTTACTTTTTTTCCCCGACGCCATTCGAGAGAGACACGAGAGACCGGGATAAATACTAAAGAGCGCGCTTCATTTTCTCCGGGCGATTACATCGTTATTAGCCTCCTAACAGACGCATAAGCGTCCCGGGGGAACACCCCACTGGGTTATTAATGGTGACTCTTTGTTTTTTTTTTTTTTTTTACAACTCCTCGTGAACACGGTATCTCACGCCTTGAATAAATTAATGTTCCCGCGAGCATTAGGTAAAAGGACGATGGTTTTCTGTATTGGGATGCGAATGAATGTTCTTACCCTTGTAGTGACAAATTGAGGAGTGGGCCAGGGGGGAATAGGAACAGGTAAAAAGGTCAGACTATAAGTATAGGTAATATCCTGTAGGAACTGCAGGAAAGAATTTTGTACCTACAGAGGTATGAACCCTAATTTTTTTTTTTTTTTCAAACCCGCACCAAAATTCATCCGAAGACGATTTAATGTAATTTCAATGAAAAACTCACCCTCGCACGTAAATTGTCCATAATGCTTCCCGCTGCTTTTATCCCCGCACACGACGCACTCGATATTCGGCGACTTGTCAGTCTGCGAACTTCCGGACTGTGAGCTGTTGGCTTGACTTCCTGGTGTCGTGCTCGGCGGCAGTGGGTCCCTCGGCGTGAGCACACCCCCGGATGGCACCAGACACGTGATTTCCTCGGGGGTTGCCGAAGGCGTCAGGTGGGTCGGGGGCATTGGAGGTGGGCCTATCTGAAGGGCGCCACCACCTAGGGTGGCCCCGGGGTCCCGCGAGGCCCACGAGGGCGGCGGGGCCACCAGCGCCATCGAGGCGGTGGTGCCACGCGGTGGGAACCCCAGCTCCAACGTGGTGAGCTCGGGGTGTGGAGGTACACGGCTGGGGAACAACGTCGCCGTCGCTGGCGGGTAAACCACCCCGGCAGTCGCCAGGGCGTCCGCGCCACCAGACCCCCCGCGAACCACCCTGGCTAATTTCGCTTTTACTACTGCGAAAACACACGCCGATCACAGGCTCCTACCCCTCGCTGGTATCTTTGGGGTCGTGAGGATCCTCTGTCTTTTAATACCTTGGTAGTCCTTATCTTGGGGGGGTCGACGGTCAGGCTGATAACGTCCGATCGGGATTTACACGCGATCGATCACTTTTTCGAGTCACTGATTTACGTCGATTCACTAAAACCCGCACTGCAGCACGATGATTTGATAAAAAAAAAAAAAAAAAATTAAAAATATTTTTGACTCAAATTATCAAGGGTTTATCGAAGGGATCCTTGCGGCACTTGATATCTCGAAATCAATGTCACTTTAGCTATGAAAAATCTTAAATATTTGCGTGTGTTCTCCAAAGTGATGATAACCGGTGGAAACCGGCGCGGAAACGTGTTCCCACTGTTCACCAGATATAATTTTGACCCCGTTCATTTGGATGTTCATAAAAAAAAAATCCATTAGAAAGAATCACGTCGGAGAAGGGAACCAGAGAAAAATAACAGTAATCCCGAGAATAAACACTGATAGTAATAAATAAAAATTAATAATTCGTACACAAAATTTCTCGCTGATACCGTAAACACCAGTTCACTGTCTTTCCGGGTAATGCTCTTGTATAACAATGAGAGATAAAGGGGTCGACGGCAAAGGTCGACAGTTCACCCAAAAGGTTTTGCTCCCGATACCGATGTCACCCTTAAAAGAGATCCGTAAACAGTTCGGCTCTCTGCTGAGGTTGCTTTAATGTGTTAAATACGGAGATATCCGACGCCTCCCGAACGACTATTCTTGGGGCCGACCAGAGACCGACTGCCGACAACGGCGACCCCTGACACCGACCTGGCCCCCACCAACCGTCACCCTCGCGGGTTTCTCGAGGTTCGCGGGTTGCCATGACGACCGAGGGTGGGGTCGAGTCCCGGTCTCGCCCCGAACCCATTCTCATTGGCTACAGACCTGTCCTACCTTTGCCACTACGCGTTTACCAACTCTCAATGCTTCTCTTGCCTACTCTCTTACTTCCTTTATACATAATAGTTTCTCTCCCACTGCTCCTCGTTCTCGCTGAGATTTCTATCCCCTCTTTTTTCTCCAACGAACACGCTTCGCGAGACCTCTTGCTCTCTCTCTCTCTCTCTCTCTCTCTCTTACTCTTTTTACTTATATACTCCTTCGCTCGTCGAATACGATTTCGATTCGGTTCCTAGATGTTTCTCTTTTACTCGACCTACTGATAATACGTGTCTTATCAAATATATTTGAACTGCCGTCAGCCACTGAAATTTATTTTTACAGTATCTTTCGTGACGATCCTTTATTTTGGTTGGCAATAATTTTAGGTTAGGTTAGATTACGAGATATAATTATTAAAAAGATCGATCCAGAGATCGATGTAGATCATCTCATAGATCTTCCCACTATCACACTTGTCACTAGAACGTGTTACAGGTCATCCAAGAGTCATCAGCAACATGAGATATGGTGCCACTGTGTAATTTTAATTTACAAATGATTTTTGTAAAATAGTAATTTTTTTTGAATAAATAAATTAACTGCAAGAACCCAGAGAAATGATCGTAATGATTGGATCGACTTTTTTTAATTCGACAATGAATTTCATTAATTCCACTTCACCCTTTAATCCCTAAGAATAATGAAATGTCTCACATGGTACCTTCCACTTTATCTTTTTGCTTTGCTTGGTACACGCGGTATATACGTATATATGTAAAAAAGAAGAAAAAGAAAATATCCAAGAGGAACTATCCCCTGTCTGAGGCGCAGTGAAGTACTCGGGGGTAGTTGAGAAGAGGTCAGACCAAGAGGGCGCCAGCCAATGGGGATGGTGAGTCAAGTGGGGCGCGAAAAATGGGCCGGCCTGCTTTCCACCCCTGGAGGCTAAGGGTAGGATAAGGGTAGCTAGAGTAGGGTTGTAGAGGGCTTCCGTAGCGCCCAGGCCACCGAGCCAGGGTCAGTCGGGTCGCAGCCCTGCACCTCTGCACCCTTGTCTGTCATGCTCTTTGCTCCGCGTTACGTACATAGTTTATTCCTTGATTCTTCCTTTTCTTCTTTTTTCTTTCTTTCTTTCTTTCATCCCTTCCGGATCAGCAGGTTTAATAATTTTACCAGTTGGCAATCCTGGATTTTTTTTTTTTATTGTTACGATTCCTGCTTGCGGCTTATACACGTATACATACGTACTTTCTTTTTTCTAACCTAACCTTATGTCCAACTATAAAATACAATAAATAGAATTAGATGGTTATCTCGACTGTGTATATGTATGTATATATATACACTAATCTTTATCGGGAATCTACGTGTTCCATTTCAGTCATGCTACTGGTACATATGTAATACGTCACAGCTTAGGATCCACTTGTAATTTTAACAATGGTATCCAATGATATCCTATACTTACGAAAGTGAATCATATTACATACCAGATTTGACATAACTCGATTAACAATAAAAATCATCCAGTTATTTATAAACGTTATGTAATCCATCATAATTTTGTGCCGTTTACGAAATGCCTGTCAATTTGAAAAAAAAAAAATTGAGCTTATCGTTATTCGAAAATAAAATCTTCGTGTGTCTTCGGAGTCTTTAGAATCGTCGGAGCAGCAAAGTCATTGGATGCGTCGCGCAAATAGCATCGAAAAATAAATGACCAGGATGAAATTTAGACCGAAAAAGAAAGTACACGCAGTGAAATGCAAGTGCTTTGGGCACTACGTTATCTTGGTACGTCTATGCCTATATCGAACTCTAAAGCATTCAACAGAGGACCGTACAGAACCCTCTGGCATTCGTACTCTTGAACCAAAGTCAATAATGCGGCCTTTGACTGAACCGCCAGTTAAAAGTCAGCGTTGACGTCGAGGGTCAAATTTAGGCATCGAATCACGGCCAGATGTAACATCATCTCGATCGAGAGTTCATCCCTTCGGATTCTTGGCACGAGAATAGAGCACAGCGGAGGCTGTTTCGTCGAGCAGAAATACTGGGATAAAGAAAGGGACTTTGGTTAGGAGGGGG